TGTATTAGTCTGATTTCATGCCACTGATAAAGACATACCTGAGACTGGGTAGTTTACACAGAAAAAAGGTTTAATTAATAACACAATTCCACATGGCCGGGTAGGCCTCACAATCATGGCAGAAGTCAAGGAGGACCATGTCACATCTTATGTGGTTGGCGGCAGGTAAAAAGAGAGAGCTTACGCAGGGAAAACTCTTGTTTTTAAAACCATCAGCTCTTGTGAGGCTCATTCACTGTCATGAGAACAGCATGAGAAAGACCTGCCCCATGATTCAGTCACCTCCCACTAGGTTCTTCCCACAACATGTTGGAATTGTGGGAATTACAATTCAAGATGAGATTGGTTTTATTTTTATTTAAAATGTATATTTTTTCTTATTGTAAATATATTTCTTCATTTTTACTTTTTTCAACTTTTATTTTAGAATTGTGTGCAGTTTTGTTACAAAGGTATATTGTATGATGCTGAGGTTTGGAGCATGAATGAATCCGTAACCCAAGTAGTGAGCATAGTACACAACAGGTAGTTTATTTCAACCCTTAGCTCCCTCTTTCCCCCTCCCCTCCTGTATTCCCCAGTGTCTGTTGTTCCCATTTTTATGTCCATGTTTACCCAATGTTTAGCTCCCACTTAAAAGTGAGAACATGAAATATTTGGTTTTCCATTTCTTCATTAGTTCACTTAGGATAATGGTTTCCAGCTGCATATATGTTGCAGCAGAAGACATTTCATTCTTTTTGATGGTTGCATAATATTCCATGGTATATATGTACCACTTTTGTTTTATCCAGTGACCATTGTTGGGCACTTAGGTTTATTTCATGTCTTTACTATTGTGAATAGCACTGGAATGAACACATAGGTGTATGTGTCTTTTTCATAGGATAATTTCTTTTCCTTTGGGTATATACCCACTAGTGGGACTATTGGGTCAAATGGTAGCTCAATTCTCACTTCCTTGAGAAATCTCCAAATTGCTCTCCACAGTGGCTGAACTAATTTACATTTCCACTAAGTGATTAAATGTTCCCTTTTCTCCTTGGCCTCACCAATATCTGTTATTTTTTGACAAAAGCAATTGCTTTTTAACAAAAGCAATTCTGACTAGTGTGAGATGATATTTCATTGTGGTTTTTATTTGCATTTCTTTGATGATTAGTGATGATGAGCATTTTTTCATATGTTTGTTGGCATCTTGTATGTCTTCTTTTGAGACGTATCATGTCCTTTGCCCTTGTTTTAATGGGTTATTTCATTTTTTTCTTGTTGATTTGTTTAAGTTCCTTATAGATTCTGCATATTAGACCTTTGTCAGATGCACAGTTTGTGAGTATTTTTCCCCATTCTGTAGGTTGTCTGTTCACTCCCTTAGTTTCTTTTGCTATGCACAAGTTCTTGAGCTTAATTAGGTTTCATTTGTCAATGTTTGTTTTTGTTGAAGTTGCTTTTGAGGATGTGGCATAAATTATTTGCTAAGGTCTGGGACCTCTTTTATAAGGGCATTAATGAAGGCATTAATGAAGGCAGAGCCTTGATCACTTCACAAAGGCCCCACCTCCTAATACAATCACACTGGTGATCAAGTGGCAACCAGACCATAGTACATACTAAGTGTTACTTCTCTGCGAAAGTGTAGAATTAGTATCTGGATGGACACATGGTGAGTATGCAAACTGTTGTAGTCTTTCTAAAGCAATTTGATAATATATTTCAGGAGCATTCATGCAGGCAACTCCAATCCAGAAAAAAAAACACTTTTTTTTTTACTGTTATACAATTTGTAATAACATTTTTACTGTTATACAATTTGTAATAAACAACTTTGCACTTAAGTTTGCTCAGATATGTAGAGCAAACTTAAGTGCAAAGTTGTTTATTACAAATTGTATAACAGTAAAAAATGAACACAGATTTATTATCTCCCTGTAAGTATGGTTAATTAAATAATGGTACATTCATATCAGAAAATATTACACAGTTTTAACATGTTAGGACAATTTTAATTACATAATGATAAATGGAAAAAGCAAATAGGATCAATTAATTGATTAAAGCCCTACCTTTTACAAAAAAAAAAATTACAAATAGTTTGTAAAGATTATAAATTTACTCTGAGGAAAAAAAAGTAAATGTGGAGATACAGAAATGAATTCAGAACAAGGATCAGAGAACAGATTTCAAGACTGCAAATATACTTTTTTCTGACGAGCCACATCTCTTATTCTTTACTTCAAAAAGAGAGTCAGATCTGTAGTTATATAGATCAGCCCTGTCCACAACATATAATCAATGAGTTATGGAGGAGAAATGTTCATTTTTAGTACCAAAATTAGAAAGAAATATGTCAATAGGATCCTCAATAGGATCCTCAAAATAGAATATTGTGTAATGGGATAAGCAATATGCCCTACAATGAACTTCAAGAGACAATGATGAGTTTCAATGCCCTATTTTCATATTTACATATGGCCTAATTATATGACATTGACATTATTGCAAAACATAGTTATTAAAATTATTTTTTCATGGGCATGTATGATTTGGTTCTTCTTATAAGATTTTTCTAATGTGGGGGAATGGAGTAATGTTTGTATTTTAGGATTCCTGTAAGAACAGATGTGCCCTGTAAGCAGTTATCTCCAAATCAAGCTCTTGATAACTATTGACTGACAATGAAATATTGTCCAAAGTTTATAAAAATGTGACCCTAATTATCTCCTTTATAAAATATATTCTTGCATAAACTACGCCATTGCATAAACAGACTGAAGAAAACATAATAAAAGATTTGTGTTGCCAAAAGACTCTATGAGGTGCTGTGTCTTTCAGAAATCTTGACAGGAGTCTTATACTCACACTCATCATTACACTTTTTCCTTTAAGCCATGTTTTCCTGTCAGCACCCTGGATTTTATCTTTTTTTTTTTTCTATGGCCATTTCCTACCTTGAGACTCTGACCAGCTAGAGATAGTGCCTTAGGGCTGTTGGAATTTCTCAAAATTCTTCAAAATGGAGCAGTTTCTCTTTTAGGTCCCATTGCTCCTGTGCTAATAACATATGCACTAATAACATAATAACAAATAAAAGAAGCCAATTAGGACCTTCATCATTTGGCCTGAAAACCTCCTTAGCCAGGGCTGCAAGTTCACCAAGAATGTTCTCTATGTTCCAAGTTACTGCAGTCAATAGTCTTGTTAATTTTTCCAGCACTGTTTAAATAAGCATTTGCCTTTCTCTAGCCTCTAATAGAATTTTTTTCACTGTTCGCCACGCTCTTACTAATAGCTTCCTCACTGGCTGTGCAGACTCTACCTGGCTCCAGCACCAATACCCACAACATATTTTAGGTTTTTGTTGCAGCAGCACCCAATTTCTGGTACCAGTGACTGTCTGAGATATCTGTTGCTGTATAGCAAACCAATCCAAATGTTTTTACTTTAAAAGAACAGCTTTTTCAGATTCTGCATATGGGCAATGCTCAGCAGAAAGGCCCTGTCTCTGTTCCACTTGGTAATGGGTGCTGCAATTTGGTGCAGCTGCAGTATCCTAGAGAGCTTTACTGACAAGATAGGTGCCTGAGTTGGGCTGGCTAGAATTGTCGATGGTTGATTGAGCCTCCTGCTCTTTCTTCTTAGTCTTGTATCCTTCAGGGTTCCTTCCTATAGCTGATTGTTGAAACTCCTTACACCGTGGCTCAGGACTCAAAGACAGTAAGGGTGGAAGCTACAGGACCTTTAAGGCGTAAGCCCAGGACTGGTACGATGTCACATCCACTGCACACTCTTGGTCCAAGGCAAATCACAAGACCAATTCAGCTTAAAAATGAGAGAAAACTGTCTCTACTTCTTCATAGAAGTAATGTTATGGTTATATAAGGATGAGAGAAATTATCAACAGTCACCTTGGAAAACAACCCACTTTATTCATTCTTTCAACAAATACTTTTGAATGTTAACCATGTCTTAGACACTGTTCTAGATGACAGAGACAAAGTGCATTCTCTTCTTGGGTTTGCCTTATGAGTCATGGGCAGATAAACAATAAACAGTAAATATATAAATAATTTTGAAAAGTAATGAGGGTGACATGCTAATATACTGTGAGTAAAATGGTGGAGATACCCATCTCCTTCCTTAGGACGTAACATTTGAGTTGAGACTCGAATGACAAGAGGCCTGTTACACCTATGACATGGTCGAGGTATAACAGGTACGTTACAGGTGGAAGAATAGCAAGTGCAAAGTCCTAGATACAAGCACAGCTTAGCTTGCTTGAAGAACGTAAAGAAGGCCATTGGTGGGCCAGGAGCAGTGGGTTACATCTGTAATCCCAGGACTTTGGGAGGCCAAAGTGGGAGGATCACTTAAGGCTAGGAGTTCTAGACCTGACTAGACAACAAAGCAAGACTATCTCTACAAACAAAAGCAAATTTTAAAAACTAGCTGCCTGTGGTGGTGTATACCAGTAATCCTAGCTACCCAGGAGGCTGAAGCAGGAGAATCACTTGAGCCCAAGAGTTTGAGGCTGCAGTGAGCCATAATCATACTGCTGGCACTTCAGCCTGGGTGGCCGGGCAAGATCCTGTCTCTAAAATATAACAAAAAATAATAATAATAATAATTAAATAAATATAAAAGAAAGGAAGCCACTGTGACAAGAATGCAGTGAGTAATGATGAATAGTGTCCATGGAGGTTAAGTCTGTATGGCCTGGCAGATTAAAATAATTTTTTTTTTTTTTTGAGGCAGAAAAAAAAAAAGCCTGTTGCCCAGGTTGGAGTGCAGTGGAACCCCCACCTCCAAGATTCAAGCAATTCTCCTGCCTCAGTCTCCCAAGTAGCTGGGATTACAGATGCACACCACCACCCCTGGCTAATTTTCGTATATTTTTTAGTAGAGACAGGATTTTACCATGTTGGCCAGTCTGCTCTCGAACTCTTGATCTCAGGTGATCCACCTGCCTCGGCCGCCCAAAATGCTGGAATTACAAGGCATGAGCCACCATGCCTGGCCTATAATTAGAAATTTAGTTCTCATTCTAAGTGAAATGGAAAACTGTTAAAATATTTTTAGCAGGTAAATAAAATGATTTTATTTACATATTACAAAGGTCACTCTGGCAACCGAAATATTCTTTTGATAAATTATCAAGCTTGAATCCC